GGGCCAGGACTACAGTGGAGACTGTAACTAGGACCAGAGTTACGTGACACCCTACAAGTGATGTAGCGTAGGTCAGCTGGAAAATGGTGTTACTGGACAAAGAAAATGTGGTATAGAATCACTGTGAATAAGGTTAATTTTACTATAAATCCTTCAAATCTTAATCCAGCTCAAGATATACCATGATCAAATCATAAAAACATCAGTAATGAGTTAAAACTCTTGAAAAATTCAAATAAAAGTATATTCAACCACATTTACAGTTACATAGAAGTGTAACCATCTGTTCAAAAGAATGACACCAGAAAATTTTACTGGTGTTGGTTATTTTGTGTAGGTAAGCATTAATGTGACATGATGAACACCATGACCATATTAAAACCTTGATTACCGTCAATACAGTCATGGTAAAAAATAGGTATGGAACCCATAATTCAGTAGCTTATAGAACCACCTTAAACATCAATAACTTGAAGTATTTGTCTCCTGTCCCCATTTTACAGACAATGGATTATTGTGGAGGAATTCTGGCCCATATTTTATTTACATGTGCAGGTATTGGTATCAGCACACACCTAAAGTCCTATTACAGTATCTCTTTTTTATGGTTCCTGTCTCTGCATTTCAGATACATCATATGAAGAGGCTGATTGTAAACAAAGCAATTTTGGTTTACAAAAAGGATATCATACGATGGTATCATATTTGCATTGCTGACTTTATTAAATTAAGACGGTGTTCGTGAATTTGTTGTTGTTAGAAGGGTAAGAAAGATAGGAACCCTACAACCCCCATAGCCTGAGATCAGGCCTGGGCATATAGCTGCGGACCACAACAGCTGCAGCTCACAGACAACAGGCATCCCCACAGGATAACCATAGGCCAGACACTGTGGTTGGTCCAAAGTGAAGCACAGGAGCAACAAGACATAGGGAGAGACACAGGGCACTGGACCCACCATCATACCCACACACCCCATAGCAGGCTGGGCCACCGGCAGTAAGACCGCCCAGCGCAGAGAAGGGAAAACCCCCATGCCCCTGGGCAGGAATCAACGCACTGTGGTGGCCAGAACTCAACAGGGCAGAGGAAGGAAAGAAACAGTCCAATACTACCTGGTAGAGGAAGGGATCCCAACAAGAGCCCATTCTGGTCTCTGTGGTTCATAGTCAGCCTGACACATCCATATAGATGAAAGAGGATTTCTTAGGCGACCCTTTTGGACAAGCCATACTGGATCAGAATATTTCTAATTGTTTTGCTACGAACACTGACATTTAAAATACTAACAGAGGCCTGGAAAATAAATTTGCTGTTGGTGTTGCTAGTGGTGTCCATCCCTCGTAAAACAGGGAGATTTTATAAATGTGCTTGTAAATGATTAATTTCACTGTGAAATAATTGTTTGGAAATTACCTTATTTGACTTCCAAATTGACAGGTAGCAACAATTTCCTCTCTACGGCCATGTTTTTTCTGCTTGTCAATGTGTTAACACACACCTTTTGAGAATCAGTTAAACTTGATCTACAGCACCTGGCTGTTACTTTCCCTACTAAATCCTATGCAGCAAGGGTGTAGAGGCCATAGTTTCTTCCCTCACTGTATATTTTTTTTCAACTTCAGTCAGATAAAATTATGTAGATTTTCTCTAACACTGGTAATGTACTTTTTTCAATTTCATTTCTGTTTCATCTTCAATTAGAACCATTTACTAGAAAATGTAAAATGCAAAGTGAAAGGACAAATGAGGACTACAAACCTGCTCTCAAACACTAGACACATCGAACTCACACCCCCGCTAAAAACTTCAAAAATAACCACAAAAACTCTAAGAAATAAAGCAACATTATTGTGGGACTTGACCTCAGTTATATGCCTGACATTAGTTAGAAAATGTGGACATTGATAGACTGTTTTAGACTTCCCTGTGAATACAGTGGTTTGTGCAGTGGAAAAGCCGTTTTCCACTGCAAACCAAACTGATCATGTGACTGGGATGAGTAGGTTTAACAATAAAAGCTCCTCAGGGAACTTCCCCACGTCACTCTTTCTTAATGATGGAGGTTTCACTTCGGATCTGACACATTCCAGCTAAGAACATGTTTGTCAACCAACAGTGTAGGTCTTGATGACAGGAAAATCACCTGCAGTAGATGAGGTGGAATTCAAGGCTAAGTCCAAACTAACAACACATTTTTTTAACCTTTTACTGTTTGGCCAGCTAATATACATAAAATGTAACCATGGTTATTGACAAAACTTTGTAGGTAGCAGTAAGTTTACCCATAAACATATAAGGTGATTTTTAGACGTGGGCATGCACAGTTATGTCTCTCATCTAGAGAAGACTAATTAAAAAACAAAAGAGATCTACGAGAGCTTGAACATACAGGTACAGATGTGAAGTGCAAGAAGAACCTTTTATTGGAAAAAAAGAACTTCATTGACATGACTTTTTCACACAAAAAATCTCAAACAAGAAATTGTACCTTCAGGAAGTGTAGGAAAAATCAGTAATGTTAAAGTGGGCAGCAGGTAAGGACCCAGAAAATGGATTTCTCTCCATCAACAAGGTATTGTGTACCAAGGAGGAAAAGATCTAAAGTTTAATTATCATTTTATTAATGTTTACACATCCTTTTGTTCCTATTCCCGACAATAAAAATCCTTTGGCGATTAGGTTTCTTATCCTCATTCCAATGTCTAAACTTCATCACTCAGTGACTCTTGACGTGAGGGACTTCCTGTTGAAACATAGTTTGCTCTACATCATGTTTCACTTGAAGACTACAGTTCAGATACACCTAGATACTACCAAACTAATGAGCAACACATTCTATTTCAGCATCACTTCTCACACCAAACTCACCTTAATGGGCTATTTTCTGGCTCTATAAACAATATATAGATGAACTTTTAAAGGTTTAAATACCTCTAATGTCTGCATGGTTTTTCTTTCAATGAGACAGACTTTAAAGTGCTCTTGATCATTAGTTCACCAGGACTTTCTGGGAGTGTGTGATTGGTTCTTAGGCCTTAGGGGCTTTTATTTTATTTATTGACTTACAAATTTAATGTCCACTCCTTCTACCTGAACATGCTAGAAAATTATGTGGTTCCTGCTAAAATACCTAGGGATGATTGGCAAGTGGATGATAAAAGAAAAGGCGTCAAGCCAGCTCTATCCAAAGGATGTGGGTAGGATCTAAAATATAAATTTAAAATTGGTTATTTGCCGAGTTGTTTGCAGTGTGTTAGTACAAGACAGAGGCTTGAGTCAACACATAACATTTCCATAACTGTCAATAATTGTTTTAATGTTACTAAATAGCTAACATTCACCTTTAGCAACAATAGGTTAGTCATTTTCTGTATGTCTATCAATGTCTATTATCATTGTGATGGAATTTTAACCTGCATTTCCTTTTAAAAATTGCTTCATTGCTTGCATGGCTCAATTTGGAGCCAGGGTTAAACTTTAACACAGATGACCTCCAGTTTGTTTCTAAAATACATTCAAAAGAGTTTAAAAGTTCACAGTTGACTGCAAGATGTCCAGATCATGTGGGTTCAAATCAAGCCCACATCATCACCCTTCCACCACCATGCTTGACAGTTGGCATGAGGTGTTTGTGATGATATCCTGTGTTTGGTTTTCTTCAAGCATGGTGCTGTGAGTTATGGCCAAACATCTTTACTGTGGTTACTTTTCTCTAAAGGACATTTTTCTTAAATCTGTTCCAACGGTTCATTCAAATTTAACCTAAGTCATGCTGCCATATTTCTTTTATAAAAGCCGTTTTCTCCGGACAATCGTTTTAAATACTCTGTGAATGTACACATTTTTTTAATCGTCCTGTCATGAACTTTAACATTTAACCTGCTATCTGAGTCTTGTACAATCTGAGATGGATATTTAGGGCTCTTATGATTAAAACAATCAGTTTTGTAAATCCTTTCTTATGTTTTTGTAATTTAGCTTTGTATTTATATTTTATTCTTTGTTTGGATTAATTTACTGCTTCTTCCACAGCTGCAGCTTGTTTATTAATCAACCAACTGTTCCTTATCCAGTATTCACCAGTAGTTCACTTACTTATTTATCAGATCCACTAGTTTAAAGCTACCATACTCGAGGTACTGGTTTGGTTCCTGAGGCTCTCTGTGACAATTGCAATAAATGTTTTCCACCTTGATGTTGAGATGAAGCCTTGTGAAGCGCTGAAGCTTTCCATTGCATTGCTCGACTCATTAGATGAAGCATCATGGTACTTTATTTGCTCTACTGTGCCGTCAAGTAGGCAATACATGTAAAACAGGCCGAGTGAATGTAATGACATGAGTTTGCTGTGTGAAACTTTAAAATGATTAAATAAATGAACGGTGTTTGTGGAGCCAATGAACAAATTCTGATTATGGTCTCAGTATGATCTTAATATTTCTTTAGGATACAATGGCTGGAGTCAAAACAAGTCGAAACAAACAGTGGAAAGGGTTGTGATGTTAATGTGATTGTGTTACTGTTAGGGTTTGAAAACTTTTGTATTGTTTATCACTCATGTCTGGACAAAGTGCTTTTCCCTCCCACATGCCACAGAAAGGGAGATGGGGGACAGGAGTGAGTTATGCTACTATCAGCAACATCTAGGGACTGTTCGTACCAAGTCCCCACTCCCTCTCTGTTTAAAATCAAGACACATGAACCCTAACCTTTCTGACCCCACGCACACACACCCCCTGAATGTTTGTTGAACTGTGTGTGAACCAGCATGTATAAATAAAGAGAGAGGGGTGCCAACACTTTGTAGATTTGCACTGCAAAGTGTGAGCTACCTCTTGCGCAAGAAGAACAGAGACCCTGTGTCATTACTTCTTTCCTCTGAGTTGACTAATTAATACCTAACAGTTACCATGCTTATAACAATTACTTCCATTTAACCAGGTGAAGCTTCACCAAGATTAAACATCTCTTTTCCAAGGTGGAACTGGAAAGCTATGTTCCCTAACCAGGAATTGAAACCCAGGAAGCAGCAATGAGAGCACCAAATCCTAACCACTAGACCACCAGGGAACACTTTGCTGGTATAAATAATTTTTAACAGGGCACAGATGAAGCAGGGGAGCCAGAAAAGCAACAGCAAGTTTATACAAGTTGGGATAAACATTTTTCTATCCGTTCCAATACTCTCTTCTTTCTCCTGGTTCCATCACAACAAAGAGGCTGAAATAGATTGATAACACACATGCAATACATTCCCAAGACAACAAAATGTGACGGGGGAATCAGCAACATTTTGCTGCCCCTTATATTTCAAATCACGTGCTAACCAGCGATCGATTTCCTGAATCAGTTGCATGTCACAGCAAATTCGAGAGGCCATTATCGTCACCACAGGTGTCATCAACACAAGCCTTTCTACGCGCTTCACAAAAATCTTCCTTGATTACTCAAAAAAAGCTTTGAACCCTTAAAACCTTGAAACAGAAGGACACATCACTGCTGTCAAAACTCTTGTTCACTGTAGAATGATTAACTTTAATTGTCTTTTTAATATCTGTCTATCACTTTCCATTTGCAGCAACAATAGCTTTTCTAAGGTTCTAGCAGCTTTCTTTCCAGCTTGGCATTGTGTAAAAACACGCCTGTATGATCTATACCAGCAAACTCCCTAAATCAATTACTTAAAAATATTCACAAGCTCTGTATCTCTACAGAGTAAGTGTTTTTCCCTTAAACATATGATTACAGTCGAAAAGGTGTCTCATGTTTACATTAAATTAACTAAATTTTCAGGCTTTTTTAGTTTTAAAGAGTTTCAAACTAAAGACGTCTTTAGTATTTAGGCTGCTTTGGGGGTTGTGTTCAACTGCCTTAAAAGGTGACTTAGGAACCAAACCTTTTTTATCAACATAAGTTACATAACAGGATGAGAACTCTGATAAACAAAGACCTAAAACAGCCGTTAAATTCCCACATAACAAGTCAACATCTAGTTACATCAACACCACTGGCACCGGGTTGCTCATCAGTTAGACACAATCTCAGTCATAAATCTAACATGTTAAACAAGGCCATCTATGGGAAGCACACTCAGCAGATAACATTACATACCAGACATGTTGGGAGGGATACAGTTTATCAGGTTTCACTGTCTGATCTGCACCTATAAAAATAATGATAAGAATAATTTCAGGAATCCTGAGAGAAGAGAAAAGCTAATAAGACAGAATTTGTCTCCTCTTGGTTTTTTAAAGTCAGCAATAAATCTGTACTGAGTTGTCAGTTTGCATAATGCTACTAAATGGGATTTCTGTTTGCCCTGTAATAAAAATGCCTGCTTGTCTCCAACTGAAACTACAAAAATGCTACAAGCATTCAAAGATATAAACCTTTTCTAAGCATGACAGGAGAAGTTCAGTTCTTTAATTTCCAGTTAATGTTGCTTAATAGAGAGAAGACACAATTTTACCAGTCATCACCTCCTAAATGCCTCACTTAAAGAATATTAAATCGCTCAGATTTAGTTCAGATTTAAACAATGATTTGTTTACAGACTTTTTGAGTCAAATCCCAGTTTTGACTCAAACAGGCATCAAATTATTTACTTAAGAAACAAGCAATTGGGAAAACGTGATGCAGCTACATCCGTGCCCGGTCATTTTTTAATTTCTTAGTAGTGAGAAGAATGCTCATAGGGCTCTTTAGGCCCTTGGGTTATCTCTGGCTTTAAAGACATTATTCACAGCTCTAGAATATAAAGGTATTTTTGCTACTTAAATTCTGATCTGTTTTATTTTCCATCCTGAAAATAAGCAGGAATTAGCTGTTATCAGAAACTTTCACAGCAATGGTGTCTCTCATTTCAGCTGGGGCTTTTCTGTGTGAGTTGGCAGGTATTTTACATACTTCTAGAAGTTTTTTCTGGGTAACCCAATTTTCCTCCAGCCATGACCTTTATCGGTGACTCTGTGTGAATTCACAGCAACAGTGACAGCTATTAATATGAGCAATATGCCTTCTCACCTAGAGTGTGTCTACGTCTACGTTTGATACATGATGTCACTCATTAAGAAGAACTAACACCTGCTATTAAAGTCACATTTTGGTATTGGTGTTGATCAGCGAGTCTGTTTCCTCAGACATTACACACAAAGTGACTAACATCAAGTCAGAGTTGTGAAATGACATTTACTTGATTTTGTCTCTTTTACATGTTAGTAAAAGGGTGTCTCAAATTTTAAGTCGGTGACACATCTTAGGTGTCAGTCAAAGGTCTTTCAAAATTTAAGTTCATATTTCCATGCAATGTTTACGTTAGAGTTTTTCTGATAATTCACAAAAATATTTCAGGTCTATTGTGTGGGTTATTGAGTAGAAATGGTAACGTGTGTACACTCACCGGCCACTTTATTAGGTACACCTGGCCAACTGCTCGTTAACGCAAATTTCTAATCAGCCAATCACATGGCAGCAACTCAATGCATTTAGGCATGTAGACATTGTCAAGATGATCTGCT